TACTAGTAACAAGTGCCTTACTAGTAGTAACAAGGACGCTACTAGTATTTGGTCGTGAAGGAATACACAGCTTAGACGACTAGGCCAACGAGGGAACATATGGAAAATCGACTGCTAATCACATAAAATAATACGATTACATCCTAATTAGGCATGCCAAGTTGTACACATGGTAAAGGTTCATGAACCTATGTAGCGAGTGGCACGCGAAGGAGCTCTCCACCCTGCGAGAACGCAGCCACACTGAGGCGTGCTGCGGTTGTTCAAGCTGGCGCGTGTGCTGCGCATCATGCGATCCTTGGCAGAGGTGGTCCGGGTTCCAGGTTTGGCTAGTAAGAAAGTAATTTATAATGGTAATAGGCTCCTTGCACATGTGAAATTTGCACAGGAGATCCGGGTTAGTAGACGAACATGGCTGTTTTGTTTTGGCCTCATGCTTTTGCGGTATCTTGAATCATCCTATGTGGGCCATCTGACTGAAAATTAAGTCCGATACTGGCCCATGCTAATTTAATCCTCTCACAAAGACTGCATGTGAAGGGTGTAAAACGGCTGTGTGAGGGCTTGCTTGGTGGCAGTGTGCAAAAACGAGAGGATGATCCTGCAGTAGACTCTTTATGATGTGTTGCTTGGCTGTTTCTCTCAGTTGGCGGGGTTCAGAACTCTGTGTGAACTCAACAAAAACTGGACCGAAACTCGAAACACCCCACGGCCAACTGATCAAACCATCCCGGATGATTTGGCGACCGATGACGACCGATGAGGCACCTTCCGGTTCTTCACCGAGCTTCGTTTGATGACGGAGTGTGTGGTGGGTTCGTTGCTTAATGCGCTCTGGTGCCGCGCCCTCAGAGCATCCAGACTTTTTGCGCAAGCGACGGCCAACATGATAAGCTTGGAAAGAATGGGAAGAACTTGGTGAAGATTTGTGACGGGTTCTGGGGAAACATGGAGGGCTATGAAGAGCAAAGGCAGAGGGGGCCAAAACTTCTTGGCGCGCACATTTTGTTCACATTTTCATGAACTTGGAAAGCACTCTTGTGCTTCGACATGATGGTCTTGGCTGGTCAAACTTTTCTGTTGCTGGAAATTGGCATGGCTCACGCCAAAATCAACAGAGTGTCTCAAAGCACAGCCCAAAGATCAGGGCTCACCAAGACGAGCTTGTAGCAGCCCCCTTCTAAATTCAATAGGCAAATCAAAATCAATCAATTTGTGGAATACATTTTCTTAGGGGATGCTGGGATGCTTGTTTGATTGAGTGAACTTTTGTGTAGGCATGAGCCACACGTTTTTAACCTCGACCTCGCAGGCCGGCCTTTCAGCCCAAAAGTCATTGCTACCGAATCTGGTAGCGGAGCCTCCGTGAGGAGGCTCCACCCTGTGATAGGGTCGTAAGAGCCCGATCCAGGTGCCCCTTTTTTGCCCGCACGCGTCTCACTCGCCTCCGCTTGATGGTGGCACTTGCACTGCGGCCTGCGCTTTTCATTTTGTCCGTCGCCTGCCACATCGGCACCCTCAACATCCTCTTCGAGCCCTTCGCATCGATCCTGATCGCTGAGAAGGTTCACCTTGGCCAGAACGGCATGGCTGCCGTGGGCGCTGCCCCGTCTGGGGGCCTGCCGCTTGGCGAGTTCCGGAAGGACGTACCACCCGGATGGGCACCGGGGGATCCAACATACCCCCTCAAGCTCTACATGGAGCGCCTTCGCATGTGGTACAGGACCTATGATGGCATGGACGAGACCGTTGGTCCCTTGGTGGCTGGCAGATTGCAAGGACGAGCTCAAGCAATCGCCCACTCACTACGACTTCCAAATCCACATGGTCGCGTGGACGTTGGCGATGCCGCTTTAGTGCGGCTATCTGTGGAAGAAGTCCGTGACCCCATGAACGGTCAGATCATACAACATGCCATCCCTTCTGGCGTGCAAGCGCTTTGCAACGCGCTCAAGGAGGCCTTCGGTGATGCAGAGCAGGTTCAAGCCACGAGGAGCCTCGAGATCTTCTTTGACATGAAGCGTGGCCGACTTTCACTGCAAGAGTTCGCGGTGGAATGGAACCTGAAGTTGGAGGATGCCATCACCCATGCTGGCTTGCAGATTGGCAATGTGGCGAAGACATTTCTGTTCTTCCGTGCCAGCCAACTGCCTCAGAAGCACATCGACGACATCCTCATGCAGATCCACGGTGACCTGAACCGGTTTGAGGATGCTCGCAATCTGGCCATCAGGTTAGCTCATCGACAACACGATCATGGCCAGAGCTTCTATGACAACTCCTCCAGCTATCCGAGCACCACCGAGTACTATGACATCGAAGAGGAGTATGAGCAGGCTTGGACAGGCTCAGATGCCTACTACTCCCCGGAAGAGAATGACACCTACTGGCAAGAAGCTTCCGACACCTATGAATGGTGGCCAGATGAGTTTGCCTATGAGGACTACATGAATGAAGGTCCATGGCAAGAAGATGAATGGCAAGAATCCTGGACAGGTGATGACCATGAGTATGAACAAGAAGCACCACAAGAAACCACATCCAACGCAGCCGGCGTTGAGGACTACTACAAGGGCAAAGGAAAAGGATCTTTTGGCATCGGCTGCTCCATCTGTGGCTCAAAGTGGCATATGGCATCATCCTGCCCTATGAATTCCAAGGGCAATCAGCGCTCTGGTGGATGGTCCTACGGCAAGGGCAAGGGCAAGCGCAAAGGAAAGAAAGGTGGCTTCAGAAGCAAGGGCAAAGGCAAGTTTCGTTCTCGCGGCTATCCAGGCCGATGGGGAAAAGGCAAGGGCAAGAGCTACATGACTCAGACGCCTTCTACACCAGTGTGGTCCAGCCACACCACCTACGGCTTCACGGACTCCCCTGATCGACGAGAACGACAGCTTCACCATGCCCGCACTGGCCTCGATCTTTCTGGTCCCTCGGTGACTTTGCCTCCAATGAATCTGCGAGCAAAAGAAGAAGCAAAGAAGTCCATGCATCTGGACATCAGCCGCGAAGAAGATTTCCTTCGACGTGCACAAGATCGAGAACAAGAACCAGCTGAACAGCAGACCTCCAATGATGGTGAGAAGCCGGAAGCAAGCTCTAAGACCCTGTTGAGCTTTCCTGTCATGATCCACCACGACACCAAGGACATTGACCTCACCACGTTCCACACAGTGGCTGGAGAGAAGCGTCGCGGTCTATTGGTTGATCCTGGAGCTGCAGCTGGATTGATAGGAAGCGAGACGCTCCGTGATCTCATGGATCATTGCCTTCGCCCTGCAGGTTTGGACAAGCGTGTCGTGTGGAAGGAGCGCACCACCTCAGTGACTGGCATCAGCGGCAAAGGTGATTCCACCTTGGCTGAGATCACTTTCCAGTTCCAGCTCGATGAGAAGAAACGTGCATCGTTCTCAGCAGATGTTCTCGGAGGAGAAGGCTCGCTCTGTCCGGCACTCATTGGCAATCCGAGCTTGCGAGCAATGGGAGCAGTGATGTTCACACACTTCTTTGACAACAACGATGGTCTTCTAGTATGTCACTCCTCCTCTACTCCCTCGACAGAGAAACCAACCATGATCAGGCTGCTTCTCACTGACTCCGGGCACTTCATCATCCCAATGGAGAACATGCAGCCTGTGAGTGAGTCTGCACAGAAGACAGCAATCCATTTCGTTGGACAAGTTCATCAACATGCTAAGGATCGCTGGAATGACTGCAGCAACTCCCTCAAGTACTGCTTCAACACTACCGTGCAGACGGAGACACCCAAGGGCGTAGAACATGACCGGAGTGAAAATAAGACGTCTGAACTTCATGCTCAACAACCGCTGAAGCAGGAACCACAGCACTGTCAAGATCCTTATGCTCCACAACCGCTGATACCAGATCTACTGCACAGTCAAAATCATGATGCTCTACAACCTCTGATACCAGATCCACAGCAAGAAGATGATGACCATGCACCGTCTCCCAAACATATGCAGAGAGATCATTGGCAGAAGAACGGAGACCAATGGGTGCGTCATCATGTCCGACTCCGGCAAGCTCTCTTCAATCCGCAGACTGGAAGATTCCCTGACAAGCTCAAGAACATCCAGCCGTCAAGGAAGACAATCCTGCACTATGACGATGGCACCAAGCAGGAACTCCATGATGAGTGGATTGATGAAGAAAGTGCACAGAAGATGATGCTCCACAAGTGGACAGGCATGACAATCTTCCTGATGAAGGACAACGTCCCTGACACGAACACCGTGCACCAAATGAAGAGTTTGAACGAGACACCTCAGGAGGTCTACATCGCGGACAATGATGACTACATCTTCATGGACGAGGAGCTTCAAGCCTATGAGGATGACCATTTTCCTGAACACCTCACTGATGCAAAGAAAAGCTACCTGAGGAAGTTCTATCGAGCAGTTCCTGAAGAGTTCTACACTCGCATCAAGAAGCGCCCAGTCACACCGAGCAACTGTCTAGAATGGTTGCAGCACATCAAGCAGCACAAGAAGAAGAAATTCCACTTCTGGGAGATCTGCTCTGGTTCAGCCAGACTGTCCCTGCTTGCTCTGTTGTCTGGCCTGACAGTTTGCTTCCCGGTTGACATGCGCTATGGCTGGGACATTGGCTATGCGCCGCACCAAGCTCTTCTACAACGTGTTCATGATGAACTACAACCAGAATGCCTCCTTGGAGCTCCCAACTGTCGACCTTGGTCAGTGTCAGCATCAACAAGAGACCCAGAGGACACTGCCAGAGAAAGAGAAGAGGAGCAACCAGCGCTGGAGTTCATGCAGAAGATCTTTCGCAAGCAGCATGCAAGACAGAAGATGTATCTTCTGGAACAACCGTGGTCATCGGCACTCTGGAATCATCTCGATCTTCCTGGAGAACGACAGCGGACTGATCAATGCCAGTTTGGCGCAACAAATGAAGAAGATGCACCGATCTTGAAGCCGACAGGTCTTCTTTCCAATCGCACTCTGCAGCGCTCGATCCTACGATGTTCTGGTCATGGACGACCTCATGGATGGCTACAGGGCCAAGTGAATGGAAAGAACAGAACCACGATGGCATCGGTGTATCCTCGCAAATTCTGCCAAGCATTGATCAAGGACATCAAGAAAGTGATCAATTTTGTGAGCAGCATCTACTGGGAGTGCGAGCGATGTCAGATGGGACAATTTGCACCGCGTCACATGGAGCACTCCCTCATTCCAGGGCAATGTCGACATGGAAGATGGCCTGACGATGATCCTCGGTCACAGAAGTCCAAGGCTGCCAAGAAGGAAGAGAACTTGCTTGACATCTTCAAGCGTGAAGCGCTCACCAACCGAAAGATTGCTCAAGGCATCATCATCTCTGGTGGTGAGATTGGCTTGACAATGAGCGAGCAGCCTTGTTCAAGTATGCTCTCTACAAGATCCTGGAGGAGAGCATGTCTGCCTTCGAAAAGAAAGAAAAGGAGAAAGACTACATTCATTGGGTCCGTGATCCTGTGACCTCCACATGGATTCGTCTCATCTTGCAGGACTACATCAAGGTTGCTGGCGTTTGCGCTCATTTGCAGCCATGGACGAAGCCAGTGCCAACACCACATTTGAAGGCTGATGAGGCCTTTCTTCGACTGATGGTACGAGGCAAGATTGAGTCATGGCGTCTCCTGCCGATGGAAGATCTTCGTGAACTTAGCCATCGCCAATGTCACGAGCCAGTTGACTTTGACGAGGATTGGCTTGTCTGCATTTTTGGCAGTTATCCATCGGCATCATCATCGAGGAATCCACAACCTTCGCTGCCTAGCACTCCGGCACCGAAGACACCGGCGGCCAGAACATCAGCGCCTAGCACACCTGCACCTGGCACTCCCGCAGTACCTCCGGTACAAGTGAAAGAAGAGCCGACAGAAGAGTTTAGACCACTGGATGATGGAGCTCTTCCTACACCATATGAAGATGAAGAAGTGCAGGTGATTGAACCCGATGATGGAGAGGAGAGCAAGACTCTGAGACCGCTCTATGATTTCCGTCGTATCTTTCGTAAGCTGCCAACTCTTGCCACGACAGATGAGCAAAAGGCCAAACGACTACTTCTTGGACTACATGAACGACTTTGGCACTGTCCTGTCATGGACTTCCGCAATATTCTGTCGCGGTGTGGCATGCCTCCAGAAGTCCTCAACCTTGCAAAGACAGTTGTGTCATCATGTGCTGTCTGCCGTCGCTATACCAGGGCAACTCGAAGACCACAAGTAAAGAGCGGCTTGGCAAAGGACTTCAATGAGGTGATTCAGGTGGACTCCTTCTCTTGGCGATCAAGCCTCTTTGTCTGCATTGTGGACGAGGCCACACGATACAAAGTTGCGGGAACTCTCAAGTCCAGAGAGCTGTCTAGCTTTCAAGAAGCTCTCCTACGCCTCTGGTTTCGATACTTTGGCCCAGCACGTCGTATTGTGTGTGATCAAGAAGGAGCCCTCATGAGTCAAGAAGCAGCACCTGAATTCGACCGACTTGGCATTGAGCGAGTCCCTATGGGCACAACAAGTGGTGCACAAGGCCACAAACACACAGGCACAGGAATGGTAGAGAGACACATTGGTCTACTGAAGTTGACGATGGGCAAGTGTGCCACAGAAGCCTCACGATTCTCCATTGTGCCTGAGCATGATGAATTGGCCTCTGAAGCTGCCATGAGTCACAACCTCACCTTGAACATCGGTGGCTACAGTCCAGCAATGATGGTCTTTGGAATCCTACCTCGAGGATATCTTGACCACGAAGAAGTGCCTCTCTCGACTGCCAGCGCAGAAATGGACCAATCTCCATTTGAGAGAGCTGTCCGTCTACGACAGATTGCACTGCAAGCTGCACAAGCATCCATCCTCGAAGACCGCATCATCAGAGCTGAGAAGTTGGATCTTTCTGGTTTGATAGCAGGTTCCTCACAAGTCGAGATTTTCCGTGACGATGGCAACTATGGTTGGCGTGGTCCGGCCCTTTTACTGAAGATCAATGATGCTGATGGCACCTGCATTGTGGAGTATCAAGGACGACCATACCTCATGAGCCTTCGACACATCCGGCCATATCGGGGCAGTTTCTTCTCCCACAATATGACTGAGGACCTCGAGAAGCACTGTGAGCAAGACCTGCTGGATCTGCAACAGCATTGTGAGAAGAGCGCGCCGTATAAGCTGCACACCATTGGACATCTATACACTACCTCCTCTTCCACCTCATCGCCACAGTGGATTCGAGTTCCAGCTGAAATGAGCTCCACGGAAGAGGAACTGTTGTCCAAGGCCAGAAGAGTAGCAGCATTCTACAGCAAGAGAGAACTACATGGCATTCGCTATGGCAGAGCTGTGAAACAGATCTTTGTGCCCAAGTTCTCTCGTGGCATCCTCCTGTCTTGGCCGTATGGTTCGAAGCAGTATGTCATGGTAGAGCACAATGGTGACAACCACCTGGTCTTGAAGCAGATAATGCACAGCGCTTTGGAAGACGTGTGCCATCTCTACATGTACTACTACACCATCTACCAGGAGGAATCTCCACCAGCACAGATCACCACTCGGCAAGCACCGTCACCTCAGGAACAACGAGTACCTGAACAACAAGAACAGGCCATGGACACTCAAGAGTCCAGAAAGCGAGAAGGACCTGAATCTCGCACCATCGTGCTGGCACCTGAGAAGAAAAGAGCTCGCTATGAGTATGCAGAAGATGAAGGACACTCTGAGCACCACCTTCTTTTGCAGTCTATGTGGTGGATGACAAGACGACCAATGAAGATCCAGTATCCCCGTGATGAAGTCTAGTTCGACAATCAAGCACTGATCCTTCAGCAAAGCCTACCTCAGCAAAGCACACATCATGTACCACGACAGCGCTTTCTCTTCCACTTCCATGGCAAAGAAGCAGAGCTCCTCTACATGGATTTGAGAACGACAGACATCTTCCGTGTGGACAGTGACACAGATGTCCTGAATGAGGAGCAGTTGAGCAAGTGCTGGGAAGCTTTCGAGATCTCCGACTTTGCTGAGCTGAAGCAGTTCATTGATGAGAACGCCTTCTTCAAGCTCCACGTCAGTGAAGTGACTGATGAAATGGTGATTGTGGACTGCACATGGGTCCGCAAGTTCAAGCGGAATCCAGACAAGTCCATGAAGGCAAAGAGCAGGTTATGCGCACGAGGCTTTCTCGATCCTCAGAAGTCCTCCATGCCTACAAGATCAACAACGGCAACTCGGCTGTCCCAAAGATTGCTAGTCAGTCTTGCTGCAGCACTACACCTGGACATTGAGTCCCTGGATGTTTCGGGTGCCTTCCTGAAAGGACTGTCATTTGACCAAGTGCGCAAGAAACTGCGTGAGCGAGGTGTCATCTCGCCAAGACGATTGGTGGCAATTGTTCCTCCTGCCAACGTTTGGCGTCACTTGGCCAAACTGGACAAGCGTTTTGACATCCCAGAGAGCAGCATGAGCGAATACCTGCTTGGATGCAACAAGCCCGTGTACGGCTTGAATGACGCGCCTCTTGCATGGCAACTATGTCTGCACGAGTATGTGGAGGAGCTTGGAGGCACTCAGTCCGTCTTCGACGAGAATCTATGGTACTGGAAGTCAGCAGGACAAGTCACCACAATCCTCACTACTCATGTAGATGATATTGCCATCGCTGCACCTGCTGCAAGACAACAAGAGCTCCACAGCAAATTCACCAAGAAATTTGGCAAGGTTAGCCGACAGCAGATGCCCTTCACTCACTGCGGCATGGTCTATGAAAAGGTACCTCAAGGCTACCGCATGCAGCAGTATGACTTCACCGCCTCCTTGAAGACCACCGAGATCAAAGATGGCAAAGATGAAGAGCGTTCGTTGACTAAGGAGGAAGTCACACAGTACAGATCCATCCTGGGCGGTTTGCTATGGCTGACTGCCACTCGCATCGACTTGGTGGCAGAAGTGTGTCGCCTGCAGACATTTGTGACGCAGGCCAAAGTGAAGCATTTGAAGATGGCAAATGACATCGTGAAGCGAGCTCAAGACAAGAAGTACAAGGACCTGGCGATCATCTATCGGCACTTTCCAAGGTCCAGTGGCTGGCGCTTGGCATGTGTTCATGACGCATCATCCGCGTCTCAGGGACGCACCTATGCCAATGAAGGGATTCTGGTTCTGTTGACCATCGACAAGCTGAACATTGATGACAAGATCCACGACATCTCTGGACTGCACTATGATCCAGAACTATTTGGTGGACCAGCTCACATCCTATGGTCACAAGGCAACAAAGCCAAAAGAATCAGCTACAGCACCAGTCACGGAGAGACATTGGCGGCCATCAACGGCCTTGAATCATCAAGTCTCGTGGCATTGCGCCTTGGAGAACTCCTGATCAATGAGAAGAAACCAACACTTCACCAATTGGCAGCCCTGCAAGAGCAAGGGGTACCCTTCCTGCCAGTCGATTGCTACACCGACTGCAGAGACTTCTATGAGCTCACCACAGGGGTGAAATCGATGCCTCAGGACAAGGGCCAGAGGATTTACATCATGGCTCATCGTGAAGCTCGACTATGTGGTCGCATTCGCTGGGTGATCCTCATTCCAACAAGCTGTATGACAAGCGATGCATTGACCAAGGTCATGGTTTCTCCATGCTTGAACGAGCTGCTCACGACAGGAGTGGTACAATTCTGGAATGTACCTGGCCATCCGATCGAAGCACGACGGCTTCCAAAGTTTGAAGAAATTGAAGAAGAGCATTTGCACATGGGAGATAAAGAACTTCTTCGGCACGAAGGAACTTCATCATCGACGAGACCTTCGGCAAGATTGTTGGCGATGCTGTGCTTCTTAGCACTGATGGGCTCCTCGAATGCCAGCGGTGAGAAGCAGGAGAATGACGATGAGAAGGTTGGCGACTCCTTCTACTACATGGTCATGGGCATTGCAACCATTGCCATTTTGTGCTGGCAAGTTCTGCTGAGCTTATGGAGGACTTTGAGGAATGCCTTCATGAGCTCCTATGTGATGAAGAAGAACTATGAGCAGGATGACAAGGAGACAGAAGACAAAGATAGCCAGTGTGATCTTTACACCACTTCGGGACTGCTGGCGGAGATCAAGCTGCTGAGACGGACTGTGAGCGAACTTCAACACCAGAAGAAGATCTTGGAAAAGGATCTAGCCTGGTCAATGGACCAAACCAAGCAAGAGGAGAACATGACGCACAAGCTGCGCTTCCGCCTACGGCAACTAGAAGACCCTACATCGAGCACGAGCTCATCTGACCGGGCATACGAGATGCACATGAGGACAATGTGTCCGATTGGAAAGGAGATTTTCGTGACGCCCACGGGCGAAGCATGGCACAGCTCTGAGTCGTGCCAAGTTCTCAAGAGGAACACGACAAAGAGCATTGTAAAGAAGCCCTGCTCTTTCTGCTCTAAGTGAGCGAGACACCCGGCATAAAAGCATGACCGGAGTGAACTTTTGTGTAGGCATGAGCCACACGTTTTTAACCTCGACCTCGCAGGCCGGCCTTTCAGCCCAAAAGTCATTGCTACCGAATGATTGATCTACATATATAGTGTCTACATAGAGTTTCGCCACGTTGATCCATAGGCATTAGCTTCATTGCAATGAGGTGTGGCCTTGTTGTTCATCGTGAAGTTCATCTTTGCGTTGCTCATTGCACAGGCCTTAATAGGACTGGGGTGGCTGGACTTGAGTTTGCCATAGTTTGCCTATTTGGGTTGCAAGCCTAAACTCTTCACTAGGGGTCCTCGACCCATAAGGACACTCTTATATGGAACACTTCCGTAGATGTTGTTCATTAGATGTGTTGTGGGCATCCTCATTTTGTGACAGCATACAGCTACGTCTAAAAGGGAGGGGAGGGTGTTTGTTTTTCAACAGCTACGTCTTGGACCTTCCCAGTCGTTTCGTTTGGTTTTTGACACCAAAAGGTCGGAAGAGAGACTGAGGAAATCGGACATGGACGGTCTGAAGCCATGAGAACCGGTGGTGACTGGTTTGGTGGTCAAGTTGGAGAATGGCGACATCGCTGAAGTTCGGCTGTGTCTGAGTTTTGCGATGTCGAATATTGCTGTGTTTGTCTTCAATGCCAACACTCTTGCCTTTGAGACTGACTGCTATTTGCAGGACATTGGGTAGAAAAGGGTGTTGACCCGGACATGGTGCACGCGATGCTCGGCTGAAGCAGTCCTAGATTTTGTTCGCTTTGATGTGCTTGGGGTATGTTCTTCGCAGTTGTGCTTCTTTGCTTCTCCCAGCCTGTGCTCTGTTGGCGCGCCACATTGGGCACTTGGTTCTCCGATGGGTGAGGTCGAAGATCCACTGTTCGGCGAAGCCACCGGAGACGACTCCACAGCCGTTCCACCAATTCCGGTCCGATGACACAAACCCATATTTTGGGTTTGTCCTATTACCTGCAACAGTCAGCAAAGAATCAAGTCACTACTTTAGAGAAAGGCCTACAACCTAACCATCATCATCCACTGAGGCCCTGGTTTTTGGAGACCCAAACCCAGATATCTCACGTTATCACAATGTCTTCCGAGCGGGTCCCAATCCATCAGGTTTACGTACTTCTATCCGAGCGTCAGCGGGATCATGGCCGCTCGGTGCGACGTTTAGAGACAGAGTTTCATAAGAGAAAAAGGAGAACAAACGAAGGTCCGAAGGGTCTTATTAAAGGGTCTCTTTAATAAAGGTACTTAATGGCCTTCTTAAAGGGGCCCTTAGCTTTGATTCTTCTCTTTCTCTTTTGTCTCTGTTAGGCACCAATTTGGTCGGGCCTTCTTCCACATTTTATGTTGTAAGGGGGATCTTAAGTGAGTTTTTAGTGCTGCTGTATCAGTACAAATCTTGTTCACAGATCTCCATGCTTATGAACCAGCTTGACAGACTCAGCAGGTAAGTTTGAAGCTGCCAGGCATGCTGTAACCCTGTATATAAATGATTTGAACGTATAATATCAGGTCTCTTCGAGACATTATTTATTCTTTGGGTAATTTGATAGATTTGGTTTGTCGACTCAACACGTACGTAGTTGTGTTTTCACTGTTTTGCCGTTGACTTTGTTTACATATTTTTCTCGAACTCCTTTAATCTATTTTCTGCGACCTACACCATCCCAGACATATCATACAACATACCCGACTGCAGCCCCCTTTTTGGGTCTCCGACAGTGGTGCAGCAACAGCCAGCACTCCATTATCACAATGGGAACAGATATGGCAAGCCTCACACGATGACCACAGCAAAGCCAACGCATATAGTCACGCACCAATGGCAACCGGAACGATAATAATACGTGTCCGTCGTGTACATTAATGACAAGAACAACAACCGCAAGTTAGCACCAACAACAAGAACATTGAGGAACAACAAGAATGCTTACAATGACACCAAGAATGACAAGTCACAGCAGCAGCAGCAGCAGCAACAACAGGAAACACAGGACAGAGGATAAGAATCTAGCGCCACCCTCCAAATATCTCTAAGCAGCCAGCCATTTCAAGTTTGAGTATCTCTGCGCTACTCGGTGTGCGCCATCACCCTCTGCTGCTCTCAGTTGACCTTGCTGCAGTCCACCACCTCGGGCGTTGACTGGCGCGACCCCTTCGAGGCACTGCAGGACATCGAGATCCTCCCTGTGCCGTGGCCGAATTGTTCTTGCGCCGCCGCGGCGTTGGAGTGGAGAAGGATGCGCTGGGATCATACAGCAAGCAAGGGATATTGATTAAGACTATATATACTAAGATTCATTGAGTGCCAAGTAGCAAGATGTCCAGTGCGCTGGCTGAAGGATCATGCCACAAGAATGGTCAAGCCACAAGGTAGGTAGTTGATACAGCAATTGCCGAAATCCAACGGTGATGGAATGATGAGCAACACGTAGCTACAGGTACTGTAGATACGTGCCTCCAGATTAGCTTCTTCTTTCCGCGTGACTGTTTGCTGTTTGTCAGTCACAGACGGGGGCAAGACAGCCAAGGCAAGCTTCAAGCAACAGGGATCAAATATACAACTACTGGGGCTTGTACTTTTGAGCCCATTGGGGAGCAAGCTAGTGTTGCTGGTTGTTTGACCTCTTGACAGGTGATCTTTGTATACAGTATACTGAAAAGACAAGGGAAGCTTCATCAGTGAATGCCCGTGGATGCAAATGCCGCGGCAATAACGGCCATCAGGTCCTCTTTGTGGCCTTCATTCTGGTCTTCACGGTGTCCATTTGGAACATCGCCACCTGGCTTGGGAAAACATGAGTCTCCAATGTATCGCTTAGTCAAAGCTCCACGTGTGACCCAGTTGACTCACATTCATCAGCAGCTGAGCAGCTTAATAACAAGAATCCGTTGAACAGCAAAGATCTCCACACCACTGTGGCTCTTTGGTGAACCCAAGTCTTTTCAAAAAGATTTTGTTTGCTCCCTCATCCAGCCTCCAGAAGTAATGTTAGTCACTGGGCAAGGTGGCAGGTGGTTACCACTCGCCACCAGCAAGCCACCAGTGGAGGTAAGGATCCAGGATAGGTAATGTAACTAGGTTCACACGGTATGACATAGGATCCTCACCGATATGCCTGATCCATAGGATCCCTCTCGCCGGAGGTTGGTTTTGGAGGTTCTACCCGAGAACCCCGTGGATCGAATTCTAGATGAATGGAGTTGTGCGATCCAAGTGATGCCAAAGTGAATGCGCAAGCCAAACTACTATAAACTACTATATATACTACTATAGTACTCTCATGGACAGATAGACCGCTAAGGGCTCTTTTCTTGAGTTCCTGACATGCTGAAGACCTCCACCAGGCTGGAGGCCACCCCCACCAGGCCGGATCTATATGGATGACCGTAGCATGTACAGTAATCCCTGCTCTCCGTGCAGCGATTGATAGCTGGAATCGATGGAGTGATCGAGTGCAGCTCAAGGAAAATCAAGCCAAAATTCAAGTAAGCGGCAAAGGCAAACAAGAAGCTACTAGGGGCTCCTGGCATCGCTACTAGGAACAAGGACGCTACTAGGAGCTTTCAGCGGAAGGTCCTGCTGATTGGATCAAACATCGTTGGCGCCTCCACGGCCAGTGTTGCCTCCCGCAAGTACACTCCTTTGTAAGAAAGCCGTTTGGTTGCGAACTGTTAAAGGCAGCTGATCTTCCTTGGCAGCTTTTGCTCAGAAGCTTCGTGTCCTTCATAAAATCCTGCGGCTTTGTATGGCTGGATTGCTCCTCTTCCGACTAGGGGTTCCAGCACGCAATATTCAAGCCCTTAAAGGCTGTTTCTGGCCAGCAGAGAATGGCCAATCACACATCAGACAAGTATTGACATTATTGTATGTTAGATAGCTTGATTTGCACCTGCATGTCATATCCAACGCTATGCAACGGATCACCACACGCAAAATGCGAGATCACTGGGCTCATCAACCTTCCCATTGGCGTTCGCGGCACGGTCTTGAAGGTTGGGCCCCTCCTGCCCCCTGGGTTTTGCACCATCCCTCCAATAGAGGAGAACCAAATGAGCGCACTCTGCGGTTCTAGCAAGCAGCTGCATGCGACCTCGCAATGGTGTGTCAACTGACTGGCTGACTACCTCATTTCTGAACAGCGTGATGCATCCGAACTTCAGGAACATTGGTCCCCTGCCTGCTGATCTCCAATTTCAGCTTCAACTCATTGACCTTGACGGTACTAGGAACCTAGGAAAGCTCTCGAAACTGCAGGCTCTTCCCGCTGTATGTTACTTGGATTTCTAGTCAGTGATGCTTGGCTCAACGTTTCCACCAATGTGAAACACTCCCCCTTTTGCATGGCCTGCTACGCGGAGCATGGCACCTTTTACCATATGATGTACGAATGCACCTCTTTCCACGGAACTGTTTGAACTCCACCAGTCAATCCTTGGACCCGACGTTTCGGCTGGATCTCTGCCAACCGCCCTGATCAGGATCTGACTCACCTAAGGTATCTTGCTGCCAGAGTTCTCTGGTCCCTGTCACCCAGGTGGCGCCGCAACTGCTGTCTACTTGTAGCGTGGAGCGCGGGCAGCGTGGTGCAGCGGGCGGGATTCAAGGGCTACTGCACCAATATCAACGAAGTCGTCGTTGCATCTTGAGGTGACCAGCGTGTTTGTGGAGAAGGCTTTGAAGTTGGCCCAGCCTGATTTGGACGGCATTGTCCTCGAGCCACTCAGCTCAAATGGGCGCTCGGCTGTCGGTGTGGCGCACATGCCGATCACCCAGCACATGACGAAATTGAGAGATCCTCGCTCAGTAGAGATCCGGATGTTCACCATGAGCTAGCATGGGTTACCTGTGTGTTTTGACAATGTTTGAATCTTTTGCATTAAATTTCAGTGAGTTGTTAAGTTGCTTGCGGGCTGCCGTTCGTTGTTTCGGGAGAATTGGCACGGAAGAAGTGTTTTTGACCCCTTGTGGGCCTTTGAAGAATTGGTTGTTAAAAACACTTGTTGCAGCATTTGCCTTGCTGCTGGCAGCATACGACGTCTAAAGGACTATTTTATAGGCTTAGTCGTGATGTGGACCGGTGTGGATAGCCCAACGACTTTTCTGAACTCCCAATTTTTGTTGTAAAGCCCTGTCACTTTGTACAAACTTTGTAGAGTTATCCAAAAATAACTGAATGTGTAAAAACTTTGTAAGAACCCAAAAGCTTTGCAAACGCTCTGTAAATGGCTCAATCTCATGGAAAACTTTGTAAAGCCTCCAATTTTGTAGTAAACAACTTTGTAAAATCAGACATTGTCAGAGCTTTGTAAAGTCCCGAAACTTAAAATAATCTTCTGCTAAATTCCGAAACTTTGTAAAGACTCGGTCAAAGTCCGAAACTTTGTTATAGACTTTGTAAAAACTTCGTAAAATCCAAAAACTTGTTCAAAACTTAGTAACCTTCCAAAACTTTGGAAATACTTTGTAAAACCCCCAAACTTGGCAGAAAGTTTGTAAAAGTCCAAAACTTGTAAAAGAAACTTTGTAAAACAATTGTAAACGAAGGGCGTAGGTTGATGCCAGAGCTGATGTCTTGTGGGCTTTGTGGGTCTCATGGCCCTGAACTCTTGGCTGCGTACTTGGATCTTCAGCTTGAGCATTGGACTTTCGTCAGGCGGCTTTCAACACGGTTGACATCATCGAGTTCATGCTGCAGGTCTGCTTGAAAGGGTTGCCCGCTTTCTGCGATAGGTGGGCGCCACTGCTGATTTGGCATTGGCGCTAGTTGAAGAAGTGGGTCACCTTCGGGTTGGCGGTGCGCGCATCCCCGCTGTCTACTTCACGTGGGCTGCCTCAAGGCGATCCGGCGTCGCCCTTCTTACTTGGTCTTTTGCTCCGTTACGGCTTCCATATGGTGGAGCAAGCCACTGTTGGACGTGAAATGGTGCAGACCATCTATTATATGGACGACAGGACATGCTTGGCGCCTGATCCTGAGACCACAGATCTTGCAATCGCCGCTTGGCAGGACCGTCAGCTTGTGCGTATGGCCGAAAACAACTCCAAAGCTCAGCTTGTCGACCTTGAAGGAGATGCAGAATGCAGAATGGCCAGGAGCTTGGCTTTGGGTGGAAACGCTGGGCGTTTTGATCAGGCGCCCTACACGCAAAGCACTCAAAGAGAATGCCAGGTACGCCGCGCGTTTTCGAAAAGCCTTGCTGAGCAACCGGAAGAGTTCCTTCTTGCCTGATGACATTGCTGCAAAAGTGGTAGATACGATGATCTTTGTTCGGCCCATCTCGGCCTATGGACGGGTGGCCGCGAATCCACCATCCTTGTATTGCAAAGCTTGACTCAGCTGTCTGGAGAGAGAGAGAGTGTGTGAGTGTTTGAGAGAGAGAGAGAGAATGTGTGTGTGTGTCACCCTCTGTTTCTAAGAGTTTTACTCTGTTCACAAGACCAGCAGGGGGCTGGCGGCCCATTTCTCGACGCTAGCCAACGAAGCTAGAGAAATGGGTGGATGAGCCTGTGGACGCACAGACTTGTACCTGCAAAGAAACTGTTGCTCACGCTGTCCACTCCCTTGTTCGGTTTCATGGTCCTTGCATGATAGACCTCTAAACCTCCTTTTTTCCCACCGCCGACTTGCAGCCGCGCTGAGTGTCAGATCGTTTCTGAGTGCACTTGCAAACAATGTTGAAAAATTCACCTCCGCGGACTTTGCCACCTTTCCGTTCCCTCATTCATTTCCTCGGGGAATTGATGTAACTGCAAACCCATCGTCTAAGTGTGAGAGAGAGAGAGTGCGCGAGTGAGAGAAAGATAGAGAGTGTGTGTGAGTGTTTGTGTGAGAGAGAGTGCGTGTGAGAGAGAGAGAGCGTGAGAAAGAGAGAGTGTGTGAGTGTTTGTGTGAGAGATACTTTGTTAACCCATGTAAACCTGCAAATATTTGTCAAAAATGTAAAACCCCAAGACTTTGCACTGAAAAACAAGTAAAATCCAGAAACTTTGTACAAACTTTTGTTTGAGTCTCCACAACTTAGCAAAAACCTGTGCAATCCCAAAACTGTGTAATTTGTATATAACATTTCAAACCTTCGTAGATTTCCAGTAAAATTTTCAGGATTGTATATATAACAAATTGTTCCCGAAAGCACCTGCGAAGGGTTTTTCCTTAAGCACTGCTGCCTATTTCATCTTCCTTAATCTCTTTCTCTTACTTCATCTTCCCCACTCTCTCTTCCTTACTCTCTTTCTCTTACTTCATCTTCCCCACTCTCTCTTCCTGACTCTCTTTATCCTACTTCACCTTCCTTACTTCATATTCTGTACTAACTTTCTCCTACTTCACCCTCACAACATCATCATCTAATCATCACCTCATAGGTTATTAATCTCATATCATATCATATTATATCATATCAGGTTATAATATCATATCACATCACATCAATGTCAGATCATATCATCTCATATCATGTGATAAAATAATATCACATCACAACATAACATATGAAGTAGAAGTATCAGATCAACAATATCAAAGTACATCAGAAGTAGATATTGATAGGTAGGTATTGATAAGTGGGTATAGACAGGTAGGTGTAGGTAGGTAGGTGTAGATAGGTAGGTGAAGATAGGTAGGTGAAGATAGGTAGGTGTAGACATCTTCCTTAAGACACCTACCCAACTTCACCTACCCAACTTCTTCTTTATTCTTCTCTTTAGGCGGCGGGGCGGTGCGAGCAGGTCTTACGAAACGCAACCCTCTCGTGGAATCGTGGCCATCGATCGCGCGCGCGTGTGGTGAGACGCGAATCGCGTTTGTCCGTGAGCAACCCTCTGCGGAGATCGTGCGTGTCGATCGCGCGAACGTGTGGTGAAACGTACATTTTGTCTGAGCGCGGCTGGGCGCACCATTATAATTCTGGTCACAAGGATGTCGCCAATGTGCGGTCCGGACCGCATACTCATTGGGAAATGCGATTCCAAGGTCTGTGCCCAGTCTGTGCCCGGAGCGTTCCCCCATTGTAATTCTGGCTCGAAGGTGTTCCTGTGTCATCGCTCGGAGCGTAGTTACATTGTGTTTTGCAAGCTTTGGTTGCTAATCGCCTTATAGTTCTGGCTCGAAGGTGTTCCTGTGTCATCGTGTGGTGCGCAGTTACGTGGTGTTTTGCAAGCTTTGGTTGCTAATCGCCTTATAATTGCTACTGCAATGGTTTCCAACGTACTTTTTTCCAAGTTTTGCCGCTTTCATTTTTCTTATAAATCTCTTTTAAAAAACGCTTCGAAATCGCAATTTTTGGAGCTTGGACGTCGAGATCCGGTTTTGGGAGGCTATTCTCTGTGCTTGCGGTGCGCAGTTACATGGTGTTTTGCAATCTTTGGTTGCTAATCGCCTTATAGTTCTGGCTCGAAGGTGTTCCTGTGTCATCGTT